GATCTTTAAACCAATACAGCACTAAATATGTTTATTTGTAATTAAACTGAAAGGAAAAAAGGACATTGGGCTGGCAAGAAATGAACAAATTTGTGGCTGGACCATTCAGGATTTTCGGCTCTTCAGCTGATCTTTGCACTAGTAGCATCGGGTCAGCTTCTGTAATCCGGATTCAGCCTGGTCTGCGGAAGGCACTCATGGAGGCCGTTGCCAGTCAATTTTTTGAAGAGAATTGCTGCAAGATGCAGAACACACTATTTTAAGATTCAAAAAAATGGTACACTTTTGCGATGTGAATTTTAATTGAAAAGCGTTCATCCACGCTGTTATCGTCGATAGCGGGAATCATTTAAATTCGGATGAGAAATTATTTGTATCTTGCTCTTCCTGGAAATATTGCTAGATGCGCCAGCTGTTAGAACGGTCGCGTTTATCTGCTAAGGTTTGGTCTGCTGAGCGTTTACACTGCCGGACTGATATCCGTATAAGGATAGAAAATCTCGCCACAGTTTCTTGCGCTCATCCATTGACTGAAGAATTACAAATAAAATATGAGGTTTTGCTTTTGCTCCAGGATATACCCTGTTCACCATAATCCAGCTTTCGTGCTGCGCGCCGACACGCTGCGCCATATGTCCCGTTATGTGCACATCATCCACCTGACCAAAAAAATATTTTGATAATAGTGAAAAGCCACAATAGTAAATCTGTGAAATATTGAGATGAAGTGGGAAGATACGAATCGAAAGCAAAAGAAACTTTAGTAATAATAATAATAGCAATAATAGTAATAGTTGTGATACTAGAAGTAATAATAATGGCAATAGGGATAGTCATAATAATGACAGTAATAGGGATAATAATAGTGATAATAATGAAAATATTAATAATAATGGCAATAGTGGTTCCTGATAACTGTAACAACAGTAATTACAATAGCAACAGTAATGCCATGAATGCTAAAATCACCTGTGCTATCAATACGGTATCTCAAGTTAATGCTGCCACTGGATCATTGAATGACATTTATTATTTTGCTTTAACTCAGTAATTCAACATTAAACATTAAATACTGAAGGTTGTTTCAAGCATTTTTTTCAAGAAATCCGGTACCGAGTTGCTAGCGGTCTGTGGATAATACGAAAGCTCTAATTCTCCAAACTTACTTTAGTTTCAGTGCCGGTCAAAAGAAGAAATTCAAGCCTATTAAGACTGCAAGTGACAGAAAATTGGCTAGCTATTTTTTACTTTTTTTTTTAAACTAAGAAGACATTTTACCCAAAAAGTAGTGCAGTGGGGGAGTTCACGTAAAATTGACCGGACCAGTTCACTTTTCATCAAATAGTACCAGCCGTTACAACACACCGGATAACCATCATACGGATATATTTCATATGGGACCATCCTGAAAGTACCTAAATTATCCATGGAAACAGTTATTTCGGCGTGTTCTCGAAGCCTTCAGTCGGAACAAATCGGTTTCCTATGGAGCGAATTAAACTGGAAGAGAGTATAAAACTTGTCAAAGTTTTATTCGAAAAACAAAAACTTTGTTGATTTATCTGTTTTCCTTTGCGGAATCCCCTGACTTTGCGGATCCAAATGATTTTTACCGAAAAAGATGTTGGTCATTGGTCAATTACACAGATGATTTTCATTGCTTAATTAGATAGTGTAGCCATGTTTATGTGTGTTATTCCGTAAAATGTAGTTCAAAACCCGGTTAGATCTATTAGCTAAAATTGCGAAAATGTAGTCCACGACTAAGAATTTAAAACGAACTTCAAACACTCCCTGTTTAACATCGTACAGAACTGGAAATTCAATGTACTAACAAGCTGAATGAAGATACTCAAGTTTTCGTTTTTTCGTGTAAGTTAAATTCTCACCTACGAATTAAGAATTGAACTTTTTGAGCAAGTTTCCGCTTTTTCTCATCTTCTTCTGTTTCATATTGTTCAAGATTAATGCATACATACCATTTGGAATTTTCGCGCACAATAGTGGCGTCTTGCCAGGCAGCGCAAGCGATCGTATTGGACTGGAAAGGTAATGTAGAATTCGGCTTGCTTCGCATTTGTAGCACTTTCATTAAACCATAAAGATTGACCACCACATCATCGTCCATTTTCAAAATATACGGTACGCGCGGGCAAAATTCGTCAACAAAACGTAGCCACATTGCTGACTGCAATACAGCGTACAGTACTGACAAACGCTTTAAAGTAACTTTTTTGTTTGAAAAAAATTCACTTTCGAAACACAAAACAGCAAACGATACC